GGGCTCGCGTAGCTGTCGTGCGCTCATGCGCATCCCTGATGCCCTGCAAAAGCGGGGAAGAGCGATCGAGATAGCTGGACCATGTGGGGATGGTGGGAGCATCGTGGCCGCTCGGACGAATTCTGGAAGACTTGGAGCTCCGACCACCTTGCTGTTGTCATACTGGACAGCATACAAAGCAGGAGACGGTACATTCGTGACTGGCGAAGATTCAGCTACTTGCTTGCGGGAAAACATGCGACGCGTATACCTCCTGTCATCTTGTCGCTGATCGCCCAATTTGCCGAGTCGGCTGCATCTTCCCGTCATCATCAACCCGCGGACAACCCCAGAAGATCATGCGATGTGGAGGGCGTGGCACAGGTGGCACATTATAGCAGCTTGGAACTTAAGTTGGAGCTGATAAAGTTTCGACGAAGAGGAGGCTGACGGCTGAACGCCCGCACGTCATCGTACCTTTTGCTCGAGTCCACGGTTTGCCCCGCTTCAGGGTTAGCTCGCATTTGTCGAAATCTCCAGTCAAGGACCGCGATACTGCCACAAGGTTACGACTTGCTTATCTCAGATCAGGTCTGTATACTCTACTGGCATCGATATATTATCATCCGTTGCAACCGCCGGGAATACCGCAGGAGCTTACGCTTCGAGAAACCATTCGGAGCATCCGGATCGGGCCTACATAGGTATAATTCCTTGCGCCAGTCTTCGCTCTTATACATAGCTTGCAATCCACTCGTATCTTCTCTCCTATTCAACGATCTTTTGACTCTTTCAATCTTGATCTGATCTCTTTGCATCATGAAGCCTCTTACATGTACTACACTATCTCTTCTCATATCCTCAGTAGCAGCCATTTGGCCTGTACCTGTCTCACATGAATATGGCGATACTGTTCTTTTCATCGCAAAAGATGTACCATTCTATTGGTATGAACCTGGCGCAAGAAATGTAGGCTCAATCATGGATCAGATCCCTTTTCTCTTCGGGTTGAATTCTAACCAAGTTCCATACGCACAGGACAGCAGCGATCTGAAATTACGCACGCAATACACGGGGCCGGTACCTAGCGAAAAGTCCGAAACAGCCACGGGAGAAGGCATCACCAGCGACGACATTGTTGTGTACGCTATCAATTCTACATGGGCAACACTCTTTCAAACCAACTTTTACCCATGGAAGTTTCACCCTAGAGACTGGGATGAGCCGTCTCCAACCCAGTCGAATACGTCATACATCTCTCGCGTCGACGTCAAAGTGCTCAAAACCGCCGACTCTAATGTCACCAAGCCACTAGCTGGGGAGGTTGACGAGTCCTATCGTCTGACCTTGACAAAAGAGGGGGTTGCAAGCATCAGCGCAAACACCAGCGTAGGGATAGCAAGAGGCTTGACAACATTCTCTCAGCTCTTCTACGCACACTCCGATCAGCAGCATGTATACACACCCTTGGCACCTGTTCAAATTACCGACAGTCCGAAGTTCCAACACCGCGGCATCAACCTTGATGTGTCACGTAATTACTTTTCCACAGCCGACATCAAACGACAGATCGACGCTGCTGCCTACAACAAGATGAACAAATTCCACCTGCACGTAACAGACAGCCAGTCCTGGCCCTTGGAAATACCGTCTATGCCCGAGCTATCGGCCAAGGGAGCATACCGACCCGATCTAGTCCTCACGGCCGACGACTTCGCGATGATACAACGCTACGCCGCGCTTCAAGGCGTAGAAATGATCACCGAAATCGACATGCCAGGCCACACCTCAAGCATACATTACAGCTTCCCAGAGCTGATAGCTGCGTTCGGCATCCAGCCAGACTGGAACACATACGCCGCCTCTCCACCCTCTGGCACATTGAAACTGAACTCGCCCGCTGTCTACGATTTCCTAGAGAAGCTCTTCGATGATGTACTACCTAGAGTGTCTCCGTACTCGACGTACTTCCACACTGGTGGTGATGAAGTGAACAAGAACGCGTATTTGTTTGATGACACGGTCAAGAGCAATGATTCGGCTATTCTGCAGCCGCTCATGCAGAAGTTTGTTGATCGGAACCATGACCAGGTGCGCGCCATGGGACTCACGCCTGTGGTGTGGGAAGAGATGCTGCTGGAGTGGAACCTAACACTCGGTTCCGATGTACTCGTGCAATCGTGGCAGAGCGACGAAGCAGTTGCACAAATTGTGTCAAAGGGACATAAAGCTATAGTTGGGAATTACAACTATTGGGTAAGGCGAAGCTCCTTTCCCCCTCGTTCACTGGCTCGTCCAGAAGGGAATTTGCGTGCGCTAACAAACACAAAACAGTACCTCGACTGCGGCAAAGGCCAATGGCTGAACTTCTACCCCTCCGTCAGCGCGCAATACTACCCCTACCAAGACTACTGCGCCCCCTTCCACAACTGGCGACTAATCTACTCGTACGACCCGTTACACGGCGTTCCTGCGGAGAACCAGCATCTCGTCATCGGCGGCGAAGCGCACATGTGGGCCGAGCAAACCGATCCCGTCAATGTCGATAGGATGATCTGGCCCCGTGCTGCGGCTGCGGCGGAAGTACTATGGTCGGGTGCCAAGGACGAGATGGGTCAGAACAGGAGTCAGATTGATGCGGCGCCCAGGTTGAGTGAGATGAGAGAGAGATTGGTGGCCAAGGGGATTGGGGCGGAGCCGATTCAGATGCCGTATTGTACTATGGAAGGGAATGTATGTTCATTGGGTAATCTTGGTTAAGGTATGATGTGTAGTGTGGAATCTTGGAGTGAGAATGGTAGTCGGTAAATATTGAGAACGTCGAGATGCATCATACATATTGCAATCTTTCTTTCTCCAACGCCAGGCGCCCTACATGCCCTCATGTTCTTGGTGAACGGTATGTCATCAGAATTCCATGGCATCGGCACCTTCCTCCCTTTCCCTCTTCAGCGCTGGTTTGTCCTCGTCCACTAAGCCCGCTACAAACCGTCGGAAGTAGTCTACGTACGGCTTCAAGCTCGTCTTCTCCCAATCCTGTATCTTCTTATCTGTTTCTTCGCCTGACCAATCGTCGATCTCCTGGAGTAATTGTGTCACTGTCGGTACACTCAACGGATCAAAATCCTCCACGGTCCTCGTGTCGATTGGAACACAGACACGTCCTGTTCCGGGGTGGATTACGAATGGCGACTTGAGCAAATGGTTGAGTTTCTTGGAGACTTCGGCGTCGAGACGGGGGTATGTGTATTCTAGGATGATGTCTTGCTTGGCTTCGAGAAGGTCTTTGGGCGTCTTTGACAAGGCGCCAGATTTGGCTAACGCGTCAATGTCGGCCCATTTCGATGCGCTGGGGCGGGAGGGCGCAGAATCCCACTTCTTCTTTAGTGCTGCTCTGAGCGTGGGGTCTGGGATGAGGTCGAGGAGGTGCGCGGACTTTTCTTCCGTGGCCCAGGGATCTTGTTCAGCGAGGATGGAGGTCTGGAAGTGCTCTTTCAGGATAGCCAGACTGCGCTCGAGATGAGGATGTAGAGGTCGTCGCGCGTTGACCTTCTTGCCGCCCTGGTCTCCTCCTTTGAGTAGTTCGAGATAGCCGGCTACGGAGCGGCGCTTTTGGTCGTCCATTTCTCGTGCGCGCTTGTCGCAAACCCAGGCGTGGGCTCCTCGACGACCAGAATACACCCAGAGGATATGTTTGAAGCCAAAGTCTTCCCGTAGAGCAACATCGATGGTCTTGATGGCCATTGTGATGAAGCCCCAGCACTTGAGACAGATGCTCGCACCCGTGCAACATGTTCTGATGTCGTCGTAATCCGTCATATCGATATCAAAGACCAGCTCTTTCATCAAAGGACGGAACGAGCTCGCTTTCCGCAGTGTTTTCCTATCTCTCGGGTTTGTGCTGTACATGGGACCGATTTCGAAACGAGAAGGCAGCATGTTTATGCATTGCTTCCGCAGGAGATCGGCTGTTAGGAAAGATTGATATCGTAGGTATGCGTCGTTGGGTAGGGTGAAGGCGAATTCGCGGTGTGCAAAGTCGTTGCTGGGTGTTGCGGAATGGTTGAGCCATTGGAAGAGGGGACGGAAGGGGAACAGGCGTTGGTAGAATGCGCGCATGACGTCTGGGTCGGAGAAGGAGGATTTCGATGTGATCTTGCTGTATCGGTGTCAGCAAGTGTTATGAATACATTGTGTCGGTAGGTGGGGCGTACATTGGTGCGGGTTGCGAGGCATCCTCCTGCGACGTAGGTGCTGGCGCGCTCGAAGGAAACTCTTCGTCTGAATCTTCATCGTCGAAGAGCTCCTCGAGGTTTACCTTGGGCTTCTCTACCGCGGTGGCTGTGGGTGCGTCTTCCATTGCAACATCTTGCGTCTCCGGCTCGGGTTTGATAGCATCCGTCTGGGACACTGTCGCTGAGGACTCCGCTGCGGGCGTCGATTCCGGCGTAACTGAGTGCGGCATCTCGGAAGTCATGCGATTGGATTTGGAGGTGTATGTTGTGAGGACGCGGATGCTGGGGGTGAAGGAGTTGGCCGACGCGTTCGCGTATAGTGGTCGCGGGCGCGTTTGGGCTGCAGGGATACCCTTGTCCGCCGTCCCTCGTTCCTTCCCCATCCGTGTAACCATCGCTCGTCATATCGCGTCAAGTCGAGCAAACATTCTCCACATTGCTCAAACCCCACCTGGGCAGGGCATGAACTGCGACAGTACTCACAGTGCGGAAGATGGCGGAGGAGGATACTGTGTCCGGAGAAGGGTGGATCTCAGATGATAGCAGTTTCTATGTTAAGTTTGGACACCTCAAGCTCATCTCCATATGTGACTGACGGTGGATTTAGGTGACGAGGATGAAAAACAACACCAATCAAAAAAGTGTGAAAGCTTCAAGACCGGGCCTTTCTGGCGCGCACATGCTAAAGACCTGAACACAATCGCGGCTGCTGCAAGAACATCAGCACCACCGTCAGATGGAGCTGTGTCAGACAAGCAACCTGCGGTAAAGGCTAATACCTTCGACATGTCGGGTCTCGATCGCCAAGCTATGGAGCAGGAGCGATTGGCAAGACAAGGCAAGCGAAAGCGAGAGCCCTCACCTGTGCCGGCCTCGAACCTTGAACTGTTCAATCCTTTGGAAGGACAGGATGATGCGTGGCAGCTAGGCGAGCCTGTTGATGACTTTGTCAGGCGACTTCCTCCATATACAACCTCCATCTCTACATGTCCCTGGATCTGGGCTGCTAATCCGTATCGCAACCCTCGCGACAAGTCACCTTCGCCACGTGTTCAAGACTTTACATCGCGTGGCACGGAGTTGCTTCAACAGTCGCTCCAGACCCGCCGCGACATCCAGAAAGAAGGCGCGAAGGGGCCTAGGGGTATGGTCACTAAACAGCTCCTCCAAGAGAGCAAAGCTCTACAAGAACGGATCTCAGACCTTGCAAAGGACACGCATGTTCTGTCCGGAAAGGCAAGTTCCATTAGCTGCCCGATTATTCACTTCTTCCGATCACTAACTGGTGTTAGTGGATGTTGTTCCCCAAAGCTGTGGAAGTTGCTCGGGTCTGGAAGCAAGTTGTCGCGAATGTGATCGATAATCGACTTGGCTGTACCTGCAAGGTGGCCACAGACGACGGCAAGGACGAGCGACTAAGTAAGTTTGACGTACGACAGGTAGTGCACAACTACTGACGAAATACCCTCCATAGTCTGTGTCTACACAAAGGACTTCCTGGACGCTGACGATGTACTGCGAGTACTCCATGAGCTTGAGACCATGGGTCTCATCAACGTCGGCAGGACCATTTACTACAAACCAGACGCCTACACTTATCTGGATCTCAGACGCGAGACGGCTGCAGAATATGGACTCCAAGCCAGTCTTTACAACTCACGAACTCTGTTGGCAGCTAACAAAGTGTCGAAGCCATCCTCGTTCCCGCAGAAGAAGCAGTTGACACTGAAGAAGTGAGGTTGGGTGTACATCATTAGCTGCTAGGCTGCTTGGGGACGGGGTCATCATATTCAGCTAGCGAAGCTCTCAAAGAAGCTACAGGTGTTGCTGGCCCTCCCTCATAAGTCACACAAACCAGCTTACCAATATTCGTTGAACCGCTTTGAGCTGATCTTCCCACTTGCCTGCCGTTCTGAATGTGGCAGCCAGTGCATGAATATTACAGGCACCGTTCACAGACAAACAAGTACGCGTCAGACATGCAGTTATGCCTGTCGACGCTGATCACCGAGCCGCTGTCGGACGCACGTCAATCAAGAAAAGAACTGAACGGGTCTGCAGCCTACATCAACATAAAAACCTACAAGATAGGTGACCTGGCGTCGATGTAGGCTCTAGGCCTGTTTAGTTTTTATCTGGTATGAGGTGGACGCAGCAGCCCGTTTGACATGCCGGCTAGGACCATTGCGTACCATGCTGAGCAACAGGCCTTGAATCACCCGGGCAAACGTAAGCAAAACTTGTCTGCGGCGTTGAAGCGCAGCTGCAGGGTCCTTACCGCTACTCCGAGTACACTGAGTTGCCCGTAGGCGCACGCAGCCAATGTAGAGGCAGTTCGGCCCATCGTGCCTGCAGAGCCTGCCGGTGGCCAGAGCGAGTCGAGAGCAGCGATCGTCTTTGCGACGTCCGTCGTGTTGGCGCGCTACTGAAAATTCCAGAAACCGAGAGGCGTCGAGTTTTCGTTACTCGATAGTTACCCTGAGGACAGGGCTTCAGTGCCGTAGTTCGCCGCTTGCGATAGACGACTCACACTGACGATCATAGCATGACAGAACATCGGACCCCCCCGAAACCACAGTATGACCGTCTCTTCACATCTATACATATCCTCGCATTTCGAGGTCTCAGTAAAATGTCCAGGTGTAGTCGCGCTTGCTTGGACGAAGTAGGTGGAAGAACGGCACCAGCATGACCCGGGCGCGTTCGGGTTCTCGGTTGATAATATGGCTGTCGGCCAGCCCCGAACAGTCAGGGCGTTCGCATTGGACTAGTCAACGGCTGGCCTCAGTCTTCGGCGCATCGTATTTCCTTTACTCGATTTCTATCGAGTAATGGGAAGGTCGTGTTGGGAGGTACGCTGGCTGACATATGCTTAGCTTCTCCGATGGAATCGGGCCTTACTCCGATGTCTTCGAACTCGCACCTTCTATGCCAACGAGCGTTTCATGACAAGAGTGTGTTTCCATCTCCAATCTTTACGCAAACCGTGAAGAAAGCAGTGAATAAAATATCACAGAGGCCCTGGGTCTCAGATTCTAGAAGTATGACGCTCCGCCGTTGACCCTGCGCTAGTCTGAGGGCTCTAATCGCGCGATCTACTGTGCGCCTATCGCGTGCAGCAATACCCTTGCAGCTGCTTATCAGTAACACATGCACGTCCCCCAACACCATCCACAACGTGCAGCAACACGTCTAGGAAGTTTACCGATTCCAACGCTCTACCCAGTCTTCGGAAAATTAATCTTCGAGCAACGATGACTGAGAAACAGCTCATGATGCGCGCCCAATAGAGACAGCAAATATCTCACATGCCCGATCTTGAGAGAGCATACAGTACCGGGGCGAATAGCCTCGTATCTACACTAAACCGACCAACGGGAGACAGGGTCGAGATGCATGGCTAAGGCGGCCGCGATAGACTACCTCCACCCTAGTTACTCGATAGAATCGAGCAACGTGTATTCCAGGGTTCGCCGATGCTCCACAGTCCCCTGACGCCATGTTAGTTGACCCATATTCTGGCTACAATGCCCCGAGAGGATCTTTGGGCTGGCCCATACCAACGGGTAGATAAGGACCTGTACCCCAGGTTTTGGCGTTTTTGATAACGACTTACTGAGCGCATCTCTTCTCTCAAACGTCTTCTCTGTTTGAAAGTACCGCTTGGCCAACTTTCAGCAAGATACAACCTACTTTCCTCTTTGACATCTGTTAGGCGCAACACCAAACGTGCCTTATCAACGCTTATCTGCAGCTCACCCGGAGACGCCCACCTTCTTCCCCGCGTTTGCCGAGTTCGGGGCTTGTTCCTGTATATAGCTCTTGCTGTTAGCACGGAGCTGAGCACTTTCAGACTTCTTTGCGCACTCTTTTCTTCTCTTCGTCTTCTCACAGTCGATTACAGTTCCAACTTGGCATCATGGCACCCCACGCAACTACGCCTCCACCCGTCTCCCACGAGCAACCCGTTCAAGCCATCATAGTTCTTGCCTCATCAAGAGCAGTTGTTGCTGGTCGGTTAACTGAGGCTACCATCGTTGTATCAAACCTCACAGGAAAGATCACTTCCATCTTCCACTCAGTACTTCCTCCTACAGACTTCCCTGAGGGCACCCCCTACACCGACTACTCGCCACACATCCTACTACCTGGCCTAGTTGATGCCCATGTTCACCTCAACGAGCCTGGTCGGACGGAGTGGGAAGGTTTCTGGACTGGTACCCGAGCTGCAGCATTCGGCGGTGTCACAACTGTCATTGACATGCCCTTGAACGCTATACCTCCTACAACTACTGTTGAGAACCTCAAGATCAAATGCGAAGCATCACAGGGAAAGTGCTGGGTTGATGTAGGCTTCTACGGTGGTATCATTCCCGGTAACTCAGGAGACCTCAAGGCTTTAGTCAAGGAGGGTGTTCGGGGCTTCAAGGGTTTCCTGTGCGACAGTGGAGTGAGCATATTTACCTCAGCACCCTAGCACGTGACACTAACCACTCCCTAGGTCGACGAATTCCCCGCCGTCTCATCCCTCGACATCGAAAAGGCACTCCTAGAACTCAAAGACGCAACAACAACACTGATGTTCCACGCCGAAATGATCCCACCCATCACCGACTCTGTAGGTGACGACGTGCAACAATCCCTTCCTCCACTCGCCCCCAAAGGCCCATTAACTTCGTACGACACATTCCTGCAATCCCGCCCGCCATCCTTCGAAACCTGCGCCGTAGCCGAAATCCTCTCGCTAGCCCATCTCGCCCCGGACCTGCAACTCCACATCGTGCACCTCTCTGCCATAGAAGCCATCCCCATGCTACGTAAAGCGCGCGCCGACGGCATCAAAATCACAGCAGAAACATGTTTCCACTACCTCGCCCTCGCATCAGAAGGTATCCAAGAAGGCGACACAAGACATAAATGCTGCCCACCTATCCGCTCCCAGTCAAACCAAGATGGTCTCTGGGAGGAACTGCTCCAAGACACGGCTGATGGTGTAATTCAAACAGTCGTCTCAGACCACTCGCCTTGCACGCCTGAAATCAAACTCTTACCTCCGCATCTAGCACCTAAGAAAACGGGTGAGAGCAGCGAGACCGAAGTCCAAGGACCAGAAGGAAAAGGCGATTTCTTCAGCGCTTGGGGCGGCATCTCAAGCGTGGGCCTCGGTCTACCTATCCTGTGGACCGAAGGCACAAAGCGCAATCCCGACTTCAGCGTCGAGGAAATCGTACGCTGGTGCTGTAGGAATACGGCGAAGCAGGTTGGGCTGGAGAAGAGCAAGGGCGATATCAGTGTGGGTTTTGATGCTGATATTGTTGTCTTTGACGATGAGGCTGAGTTCTTGGTATGCGATTTCCAATCTTTTCTTCCCTCCCTCTATTTACGGATGGGCTGTGGGCTAACGGTAATGCAGGTCGAACCAAACACCATGCTCTTCCGCAACAAGGTCTCGCCGTATGAGAACAAGACGCTCAAGGGTGTTGTGAGGGAGACTTGGCTACGCGGTCAACGTGTCTTTTCGAGGACAGAAGGGTTCCAAGAGAAATCTGGGCCGCAGGGTAAGTTGTTGCTTGAGCCGCGCAAGATGAACGTTTAGGTCATGAAGGGTTGGGGATGTGCTTTGGTTGTTATGAAGGGTGGGCTGCATATACATGGTTGGGACGCTGCATAGAGCATGTAGTGTTTGACGTCTTTCCTTGTTTTACTGCATAGATGGTGTTTTTCATTTGGGTACGAATTGCATAGAAGATATTTACAATCTGAATATAAACCTGAGTACGAATTCGTACTTCAGCTTACTTTCCTTGCGAGTCACAAACCAAACGCCGCGTACATATCACCGGCTCCTTTTGCGATAAAAGCAATGCCATGTAGTATTCCATGCCAGCTAACAAACAACACACCGAGAACAATGCCTTTCTCGGCTACAGCGTATAGTACACATCTCTCAACCCCTATGGATGCACGTCCCTTGGTCTGATACCAAGCCCCTGGAGAATGGTCTACAAGTATTTCTTGGGCGCACCGCCTCGCCTCTTCTTGTAAACAATGTAAGCACCTGTGATCATAATCTGAACAGCGACCGCGATGAAGAAGAAGGTCATTAGGCTGGGTCCGTGGCTGCCAACAACTGTGATACCGAGTTAGCTTTACTGTCCTCTCAAAACGCATCGGATCGGGGATTGTCACTTACCATCACCCATCATGCCAGGCAAACTTGACATGACGTGTCCGTGGTTCCTGTCCAGGGCGTGATGAATTTGCTGCATCATGTCCTTGTAATCCTTGTTCTCGATGTCTCGCAGTATCTGCATAGTCGTGCGCTCAACCTTTTCCATGTTGCGGATTGTGGCCGCGGCGCGGTCATCCATGGGCACAATGCGACGATGGAGTTCCTCCCAGCGCTCCATGTTCTCCTTGTGGATGAGTGTAACGGTTTCTGCGATTTCATAGACGCGGTTGTTGATGATTTGGATGCGGTTGTGGAGGTCGGCGAATTGGTCTTGTTGCGAGCGGATGTTGCCTGCTAGGACATCTTCGAGCATCTTGGGGATGTCTTGCTGGGAGGTGGAGGAACCGTAGTTCTGCTGCCCTTGGTTCTGCTTATGTGTCTGCTGCTCATGGCCTTGTTGGGCGGCGAGGTTTTGCTGTTGTTGGTGTTGTTGCTGGGAGTTGATGTAGTCCTTCTTGCTTAGGTTGGGCTCTTCGCGCGTGTACGAGTTGGTGGTAGAGACGAC